GGGACCACCATCTTGAATACGGCATGAAACTAAATAAAGAGACAAGTTGTGAAACCATTTTTCAGATTCATACAAATCAAGAAAAAATACCAATCTTTCATCTGTAAGGGTAATATTAAGCCACCCGCTCACAAAATACGACCGAATTTGCTGTTTCTGTGTTGACAAATCCCTTGCATACGAACACCCAATTACACGAAAAACATAGAACACTTTCCTGGGGTTTTTGAAACCAAAAACTGTCACTCCAACTCAGCAGCCAATCAGTGACGACGGACTTACAGTTAGATCTGGAAAATGCATTTCACAACTTTTCTCTTCGTTTCATGTCGTATTCAAGATGGCGGCCACCATATAGTAAATATCGCATTTATTTTATTATCACTTGTGCGTGCACCAACTGACAGTGATCTGATTGGCTGTCCCCTGGACATCAGCACATTACTATGGATACTTTATGACCTCTCTCAAGATTTACTTGTAGATTTTTTAAACTCTCATGATAATAGACAACATCTAGCCTAACTGTTAACTAAACTAACCAGCGAATATTCTAGTAAATTTTTCAAGAAAAATGCAGAGATTTCATAACTATATATTTTTTATTTGGCATTCACAACCAATAGACTAAAAGAAAACCTGGCGTCAGTTAATTGAATGACAATTCTTAATTAAATTAGAAATGTTTTTGTATTTTTTCAAATAGTTTGTTCTTGATAACTTGTGTTTTCATACTATTTTCGTATTACTGTGTATTTTTAAAACCGCCCTCTAGAGTTAATGTATTACATCCTTTTGTTTTTTCAAACTCTTCAATTTGGAAAGGTAGTTCTTTTCTTGATAAGCGAGTTGTATGTACTAAGCTACTTGTTATGTGTTAAGAAATTAAACTTCAGCTTAAACATCTCATCTCTTTGTCAATTGTGTGTCTTATAGTTTGGACTCATTTGGAAATCACTCGAGGATATTCATTGGTATGTTGACCCATAAACAATGTTATGGAAAAACCCAGAGTGTGATCCAGAAAGTGCATAGATTACATGTTGCCACGTCTTCAGTTTTGGATCAACATTCAACACACAGGAAAATGCTAAAATGGAAATCCATTTTGGAAAGAATTTGGGGGAGGGGGGGGGGGTAAAGGAAAATGTATTTGGGGCAATATTCAAATAGCTTGCTACTATTGTCATTTTGAACACTATAAAATTACTTGGGGGGGGGAACAAAACACTGCTGCAACAGTAAAAGTAAAAAAAAAAATATTTTTATTACCAACTTGTCTATTTGTTAATTGTAATTTTTCACCACCAGTTACCTCTTTTGATCACAAATGCACAAAATAGTCCTGTTTATAGTCTGCACTTTTTTTCAGAAGATTGGAACAAAAAACACACATTTTTGGAGTAAAAACTGAAAACCTTACTAAAACTGTGTCTGTTGGCTCAAAAATTAGAGTTCATTTCCAGAAATATTGAAAATACCGATAATTAGAAAAAAAGTGCAGACAAATTTGGGAGAATGTCTGGTGGTGAAAAGATTAAAAAGTACATGCAAGAAATTTTTTCAAATCTTGCAATATTCAGGTACTACCATTGCTCATGTTAACACTTCAAACGACCAATAGGTGATTTTCCGTACAATTGCGAGATCTCGCGAGATGCATGAAAGAACGTCTGCCGCAAAAATCGAACGATTTGATT